ATGAAAAAGCAGTAAATAGCCTTGACTGGTGTGGCTCAGTTGGTATGAGTGTCGGCCTATACACTGAAAGGTTTTGGGTTTGATACCCAGTCAGGTTACCACCACCAACAAAAAAAGTAGTAAATAATTATCTGTAGCCTGTGTAGAACAGTAGCCAGACTTAAAATAGTCCTTTCTGGCTAAGGGTTAGAACAATGAATATAATTGTTTGGGCTGCTTTTAGTATCTCTTAATCAAAATTACTAGATGATAGAATTCAAGAACTTGTTACATGCTTGGTGTACTGATTGATAATCATTTAAAAGTATGCATTGTCATGCATAAAAAGGAAAGAATGAAAGACAGAAACGTTTGTGGAAATTAGCAAAATGACTATCATTGAGCACTGAACATTTTGAAATTAGAACTAGTTCCAAAGCAAAAGTGGAATAAATAGTATGTAAATATGATCTTCTGTGAAAATGTAGAAATAATAAAACTTTGATCAAATTGGACAAGGGGGAGAGCAGGTGGATAAGAGAGTCAGCTCTCTGACTGTTTTATATGTAGTAGTTTCAAGTTTTATTTTCCACTAGAGGCCTGGTGCACGAATTCCTGCACCAGTGGGGTCCCTGGCCTGGCCTGCAGGATCGGGCCGAAACCAACACTTCGACATCCCCAGAGCAGTCCCGGATTGCAAGAGGGTGCAGGCCAGACCGAGGGACCCCACTGGTGCATTATTGGGGCCGGGAAGGGATGCAAGAGGTTGGCCAGCAGGGGAGGGACCGCGGGAGGGCTCCAGGGTGTGTCCAGCCCATCTTACTCAGTCCCAATTGGCCAGATCCCAGCAGCAAGCTAACCTACCAGTCAGAATGTCTTCCCCCTGGTGGTCAGTGCACATCAGAGCAAGCGGTTGAGTGGCCTTAGCATATCATTAACATATTACGCTTTGATTGGTTGAATGGACGACTGGACGACTGGACACTTAGCATATTAGGCTTTTATTATATAGGATAATTTTTAAAAGGTTTCAAAGGTTCTTGAAATAGGAAACTTCCACAAGGTAAAGATGTCCATCTTGGCCAACATAATTTACACCTTCAATAAAATCAAAACAAACACCTGGTGGGTTTTGTGTCCACTAATGAAATCACTGATTCGGGCAATGATCATCCATGGCTTCCAAATCATTAGGGAAGGTGGGAACAGAGATTAACCAAAGAACATATATGCACATATGCATAACTCATGGACACAGACAATAGTATGGGGAAGGCCTAGGTGGGGTGGGGTTTGGTGGAAGGGGGGCAAAAAGGGAGAAAATTGGAGACATCTGTAATACTGTCAACAATAAAATAACAAAAATCATTAGGTGAAAGTTTGACTGGGACCGGCTATTTACAGGGGGCCAGCTCATCACCCCACAGTTTACTTGCTGTTTATAAGTAGGAAAGCATAACTTTACAATGGGGGCATGAGGAGATACCTCCTAAAATGCACTCATCTCTCTTCACCACACTAAAAGTGGGTGGGAAACCCATGTTTCCCCTGAGGTGATGCAAGAAGAAGGCACACCTGTAACATGTTTGTGCCAAGGTAGTTGAACTGGAACCTCACCGAGCCTCTAGAGCTAATAGAGAAGGAAGTTGAAAGATATCACAGGGAAGTAATGTGGAACATTGTAGGGAACAATTAATCTTTTTTTCTTCAACAAGTAAATAGCATGAAGAAGGAGGAGAGGGAAGGGAAGCAAGAGAAGTCGGATTGGAGGGAATGTTTTAGATTAAAGAAATGTACAAGACATTACTACCAACGCAATGTGTGCACCTTGTTTGGATTCTGACTCAAACACACCAACTGAACAATGTCATTTTGGAAACAATCGGGAAAATAGAATACTAGGAGAATATGATGTGATAGACATCACTGCTGATTTTGTTGGGTGTGATGAAAACATGCTGATTATGTGAGAAAATGTCCTTATTTCTTTGAGATTCATATTTAATTATTTAAGGGTAAAATGTAAGACACATTGGATTTATTTGAAAGTATTTCAGCCAAAAAGGGGTAGGAATATACATGGAGGAAGTGTTGTAAAATGTTAATTTTTGAGACTCTCAGTTATAAGATGAATAAGTCCCAAGGATCTAATGTCGAGCATGGTGACTACAACCATCAATACTGGATCATCTACTTGAAGGCTGCTCAGAGTACATCTTTAATGCTCTCACCATGACAACAACAATAAAATGGTAATTGTGTGAGATGAGGCAAGTGTTACCTAACTTACTGTGGTAAGTATTTCATAATACATACGTGTATCAAAGCATTACACTGCACACCTTAAACTTACACAATGTTATATGTCAATTATATCTTAATTAAGCCTGGGAAAATGTTAATTGTTGAATCTGGGTGAAGGGTATATGGGGCTTCCTAAAAGTATTTACTGTTCTTTTGTGTATTTTTAAAATTTTTATGATAATTTTTTTTTACAAAAAACAAGATTTATTTTGGGAACTTAAGAAATGATTTTAAGGTTAATATGGGAGAATGAAATACTTGTGACATGGATGATTGAAAATGCAGATTAATGAAGGGTAACAGGACACGGTCAGTCACTAAAATGTATTGCGAAGCTGCAACAATTACAAGCAGTACAGGCAGGAGAATAAATAGTCAAAAAGAGAACAGAAAACCCAGAATCAGTCCATTACATAGAAGACTTTTGTAGGAAACCGCCTATTGTCTTCTCTAGCAGAGAGGTGTGGACAAGGAGCCCGGAATGCTGGTGACCCTTGAAGCCCTGGCAAAGGTCAGGGCTATGCACCCACTGTTTAGTCCAGACAATGGTAGCTGAAGCAACCTCCCCACCAGATAGTCTGTAAATCCTTACTGATAAGATTGTCTGCCTGTTACTGGAACTTGCCTGCTAAGGGCTATAGGTGTGTCCCAAACTCAATAAAAGGATGGCAAGGCCTGAGCACCAGTGAAGTCCATCCTTTTGGGATGGGCTCTCGCCTGGCCCCCCAATTTCCAAATTATTTCTTGTCTTGTCTCTTTCATTTGTGTGCAGCCCCTCTTCCAGATCCTGAACCCTGAACTATGCGGGACATGGGGGAACATACACAACTTTAGCTTTTGATAAAGCTGTGATTCCCAACCAATGGCAAAAGTTTGAATTATTTACTAAATGATACTAAGACAATTGCTTAATAACTTAGAAAAAAGGCATTTCCCTGTCTCACACCCCATGCCCAAATAAATTTGGGCTGGATTAAAGAATTAACATGTTCTTCAAAATCACAAGAGAGCCCAGCTGGTGTGGCTCAGTTGTTTGGGCATTGGCGGGTGCACTGAAAGGTTACCAGTTCAATTCCCAGTTCAGGGCACATGTCCAGGTTATGAACTCCATTCCTGGTAGGTGGTGTGCAGGAGGCAGCCAATTGATGCTTCACTCTCATATCTATGTTTCTCTCTCTCTAGAAGAAAAAAAAATCACAAAAGAATTATAAGTATAGTGAATAATTCTCTGGCATTGGAGTAAAAACGACTTTACAGCATAAAAACAAAGGGAGAAAATACGAATGAAAAGACTGAGCTAACTACCCCAAAACTGAAAACATTGGTACAAAGGAAAAAAAGAGGATAGGATTACACATTTATCAAGCTCCTCTCATTCAATTCTCAAAACCATCCTATAAAATAAATATTATCTCTATTTTATTATTTTTATTTTATAGAAGAGCAAACATGTTTAGAAAAGTTAAGTAACTTGTTCAAAGTCACAGAGCTCAAACTGGGGGCACTTATTCAAAGCCAAGTCTGCCTCACTTCAGCTTACATCTGCTAACCACCTTCCCATACTGCTCCTTGTGCACGACAAGGTAGTGGTATCCTTAATGTATAAACAGCTCTTAAAATTCCATAATAAAAATAAAGGTTCCTCAATAAAAATGGGCAAAGTACAGAAGCAGGCAAAAGAAGAAGTACAAGTGGTCTGTATATGCCCATTATCCCCCCTTTACTCTCTCCTACCTCCCCTCACCCTTTGGTTATCACCATACTTTTCATTTACTTCCGGTGTGGGTTTTCCAAGATGCAATTTCAGGATATTCAAAGCCTGAAAAACTGCCTCGCCCTTTGACGTTGCATTTCCGTTTGTTTGCTTGATCGTTTCTGGGGTTTGGTTCTTTTTTAATTGAGGTATAATTGACATATAAGATTATATTAGTTTCAGGTGTACAACATAATGATTCAGTATTTGTATATATTGCAAAATGTTCACCACAATAAATCTAGTTAACTTCACCACACATGATTACAATTTTTTTCTGTGATGAGATCTTTTAAGGTCTACTCTCATAGCAACTGTCAAATATTCAATACACGATTATTAACTATAGTCATCATGTTGTACCTTACAAACCCAGGTCCTATTTATTTTTAACTGGAAGTTTGACTAGCCTTGCATTTCTAATTTGACAAACTTACCCCAAGAACATAGTCAGAGATCTGACTCAAAATGTATGTACAAAGATTGTTGTCACAGCTTTACTTATGAGAGTGAAAAAAAATGGAAACCTGTATGTTCCATGAAAGGGAACTGATTATATGTGTGTTGGCGTATCAATCTTGCAAAATACCATGTTGCTATTAGAAATGAAGATACTGGAGGACACTTCATCACCCAGGAAAATGTCTAGAAAATAATCTTAGTTGAAAAAGCATTTCTTTAATATACAGGTGTATTTCAAAATCAGGGAAGAAATAGCCTCATAAAATTCTCCTAAATGAAGTCTCCAAGGGGATGCTAGAATTCAAAAAGTAGCATCAGATCATAGACTATAAGGCCCTGATTCCTGAGAGCTTAGGAGACAGCAACGAGGCCCAATGAGGAACAAGACTTGCTCAGGATCACAGCCCAAGCCAGCAATACAGGCAGGCCTGGATCCTAGCCCCAACACCCAGGTCCTGCCCACACCCATCGTCCATTCTTGCAAAAGCACCCTGGCATTGAGGCTTTCATACAGGGGGTGGGGCCAAGACGAGGCAGCCACCAGCAGCCACTCAACACCCCCTCAGCTTCCTTCCCTTACTCAGCTGCTGTAGCCTCCCTGGAGCCACAGGTGTTAATTTAGGGGCCCCTGGGCCCTGACCTTATTAGGTGCCGCTGCAGAAATATGAGGGCCTGGAGCCTCCTCCTCCTGGTGAGCCTCCTGGCTTTGGGGAGCCAGCTGTCCACTGTCTCGGGCAGGAGGAAGGGAGGTGAGTGTTCGCGGGTTCCTTTCCTCCAGGTACCAGGTGGTTTCTGCCTCTCTGGGGAGCCTTAAGGCTTTGGGGGAGGCAGGAAACTCGGTGTGTGTCTGTGTGTGTGCTGTGGATGTCTACTTCTCAGTGGGCATGTTCCGTTGGTGCCCATCAGCTTGTCCATGTCTATGTCTGTAAACATCTTCCTGCCAGTTTCTCTGTGCTCGTCCGTGATACACAGCTAAGTGTGGCGTTCTGGGTGCACGCATGCCCATCTCTGTGTACATGTGTATTTTTGTGCCTCTGCGGGTCAGGAGACAATTCTGTCTGTACCGCTCTGCTCTGGTGGTCTCCACATAGGTGTATGGGTCTGTGGGCCCACACGGCAGGGAGAGAACCCTTCCTGTCGTCCTCTGTGGCCAACAAGGCCGTGCCTGGTCTGGCTTCTGTCTTTCTCAGGCCCTTTCCGTCCCGTCCCCCCGTCGTTCCCCCCCCCCCCCCCCGCCCCACAATCTGTGGAAGGGACTCCTGAATTGAGTAGGGGCGTGTGTGTTTTTTTAGCTCTGGATCTGTTGGGAGGAAGCTCTAGCCCTTCTTCTTTTCTCCCCGCCTCCCCCCAAAAGTCTGGGGCTGACCTGTCACCAGGTAAGGGAGGCCAGGCTGCTGGAGTAGTTAGACAGGTATCTCCTCACCTGGGTGAGGCCTCCACTTCCATACCCTTCTGGGCTGGAACACTCTGACCTACATACACCTGTAGCCCTGGCCCTGCCTTGGGAAGGGGACAGTAAAGGGGACAGGTCCCCTCCTCCACAGGGCCCTGGGGATCAGTTCCCTGCATCCTCTGTGCCACCTCTAGCCTAACTGAAAAAAAAATGTTTTTACTAATTTCTTAGAGCAGCAGTTGCCAACCTTTCGGACCTCATGGACCACCAGCGGTCCGCGGACCACCAGTTGGCGACCACTGTTTTAAAGAAAGAAAGGAAGATGGAGAGAGAAAGAGAGAGAGAGAGAGAGAGAGATGTGAGAGAAATATTGATTGGTTGCCTCCTGTATATACCTCAACTGAGGATTGAATCCCCAACCTGGGCATGTGCCCTGACCAGGAATCAAACTGGTAACCTTTCAATGCATGGGACGATGCTCAACCAACTAAGCCACACCAGCCAGGGCCCCTCTGGCCTAACTTATACCTTCCTCAGAGGCAGGGATCCCTGGAGATGAGCTGGTTTGGGGAGGAGAGTGCTCAGAACTCCCAGGCTGAGGAGGGAAGCGTGCTGGCAAGTTCCCAGGCCAGACCCCATGCTGGCTGTGAGTCACGTGCTATCACCACATTCCTTCTCACTGCAAGGCTGTGAGGTCACAACTATTTTTATGCCCATTTTGCAGATGAGGAAACCGAGGCTCAGTGGGAAACCACTTGCCCAAGGATAACGACTGCCTCCGAGTCAGTGGCAAAGGTGGCTGCTGAGGGCAGGTCTTTGTCATCAGGAAGACTTGCCTCCCAAACCTACTCCTTGTAAAATGAGGTCTCATGCCTCTCTGTCAGGAGTAAATGGAATAACGCATGTTGGTGGCCCCCAGTTCATCGCATCTGCATCGTTCCCGGGTTTCCCCCCCATGGAATCTCTGCCTGGCTCTCTGGAATTTCAGACAGTGGAGGAAAGCAGCAGAGTTGAGGGAAGGGATGTCTTGGTTTATTTTCCGTGGAAGCACAGCCACCTCTTTTTATCAGATTCCCTCCACACACACTCAAATACGTCCGGGTGTCTGACATAGAGGGCCGGGCACAGTCCCTGACACAAAGTGTCTAACAAGTGTTTTCAACGGTCGTATTGTAGTGTGAAGAGACCTGTGTCTGTAGCTCTTTGCATATGGTTGTGCACATGACTGTGTGTGTATGTTCGTGTCCCTGCTCACACCCATGCTACATATTTACATATACATGACTGCATGTCTGGGTGTATGTGTAATTTCTGTATGGGGTGGGCAAAAGTCAGTTTGCATTTGTGAGTACACAAAAAAGAGTTTATTCTTGTACTATTATTTATTAATTATTGTATTTTTTCTATAAGAACAACTGTAAACCTTTTCCCTCCCCTGCATTGATGTGTATAGGCATGTATATGTGGCCTGTATATTTATTCATATGGACAGATACAGGGTGTCCCCCAAAAATGTATCCATACAATGTCTGTAGATTCTATTACTTTTTAAAAATTAATATATTTTTATTGATTTCAGAGAGGAAGGGAGAAGGAGAGAGAAATATAAACATCATTGATGAGAAAGAATCATTGATTGGTTGCCTCCTGCACACCCTACACTGAGGATTGAGTCAGCAACCCAGGCATGTGCCCTGACCGTGACCTCCTGGTTCATAGGTTGGCGCTCAACCACTGAGTCACACCGGCTGGGCTCTATTACATTTTGAAAATGAAATGTATTTTGATAAACACTGCCTTTATAATTATTCAAAGTGTGTATACATTTTTTGGAACACCCTGTATTTGTTCACATGACTGTGTTTATCCTACCTAATAAAAGACAAAAAGTGTACCTTCGCTACGCTTCCCATTGGCTAATCAGGGTGATATGCAAATTAACCGCCAACCAAGATGGCGGCCGGCAGCCACGCAGCTGAAGCGAGCAGGAGGCTTGCTTGCTCCAGTGATGGAGGAAGCCAAGGTTCCCCTCCTGCCACGGCGCGGATCTAAGCTCCGAAAGCAACAATGTTTCAATTATAGACGCTAAACAAACCCCAGATACCTGCTTTCAGCAGGCCGTGGCCTCAGAGCTGGAGCCGGCTCTCAGCTCCAGTGACAGCAACGAAGTTTCAATTATAGAAGGTAAATAAATCCCAGAATTAAAAAAAAAGAAAAAAAGGAGAGGCTGGGAGCTTCAGTCCCAGCCAGCCTGAAAACTGCCCTCAGCCCCTCACCCAGGCTGGCCAGGCACCCCAGTGGGGACCTCCACCCTGAAGGGGGTGTGACCAGCTGCAAACAGCCATCATCCCCTCACCCAGGCTGGCCAGGCACCCCAGCAGGAACCCCCAACCTGATCCGGGACACCCTTCAGGGCAAACCAACCAGCCCCCACCCGTGCACCAGGCCTCTATCCTATATAGTAAAAGGGTAATATGCAAACTGACCCTAACAGCAGAAAGACTGGGAATGACTGGTCACTATGACACACACTGACCACCAGGGGGCAGACGCTCAATGCAGGAGCTGCCCTCTGGTGGTCAGTGCGCTCCCACATGGGGGAGCTCTGCTCAGCCACAAGCCAGGCTGATGGCTGCCAGTACAGTGGTGGTGGTGGGAGCCTCTCCTGCCACCTCAGCAGCGCTAAGGATGTCTGACTGCAGCTTAGGTCTGCTCCCCGCTGGCAAGTGGACATGCCCTGAGGGCTGCCGGGCTGCCAGAGAGATGTCTGATTGCCATCTTAGGCCCAATCCCCTGGGGAGCAGGCCTAAGCTAGCAGGTGGTCATCCCCCAAGGGGTCCCAGACTGCAAGAGGGCACAGGCCGGGCTGAGGGAACCCCCCGCCCCCCCCCCAGTGCACAAATTTTTGTGCACCAGGCCTCTAGTACATATATAATTATCTTACATATATAGCGATATATAGGACACACACACACACACACACACACATATATATGAATAGGTCAGACCATATGAAGTTGCTATTTTTGTAGATCAAAAAAGTTGAATATCAACATTCCATATGGTTAAACCCATAGCTAATTATGCTTATATATCTAAGTGTATTTGCATAGTTGACTATGTATGTGTACCTATGTCTGTGTGCATAAATATGTATATTTAACTGTGATTGGTTAGGACTCTCATTCTCTGAGTCAGCATATCCAGAAGACAGTACTGTGTAGCTGTCAGTGTGTGTACATGACCGTGTCTCTGGGCACACGTCTGTGGGGGGGGGGGGGGGGAGGGGAAAAACTGGATCGGGAGGGAAGGTTAGGAAGGCAGAAGAAGACCTGAGTGTAACCCACCAAACTCTCTCATGCTGTCCTTCCAGGTTCGTATTCCCACCTCCACTGCTGGGGCCACAGTTCTCCCACTTGAAGTGCCAGTTCTCTTCTCCCCTCCTGTCTGTCTGTCTTTTCTCAAGGTTTAGGTCCTGGCCCTCCCCCAGAAGCTCTCTGTAGCTCTAAGACCTGACCTACCCCACTCCACCCAGTGGAGCTGCTGAGGAGGCAGGCAGCTCGGTTTGGCCCAGCTCCTTGCGGCCTGAACCCCTCTGACCAGGGCTGGACCCCAGAGAGTCTTCCAAGGCCCCTCCCAGCCCCAGCCTGGGAAGGACAGGCTACTCAGGGTATGGGGTCCCCCAAAAGCTAAGCTGCTCTTTATCCGAGGAAACGGCAATTCCATTTAAGCCAACTCAATTACTCAACTGAAGTTGACTTTGAACGCTTACTGTGTGAGCAAGGTGCCTACTATGTGTGCAGCCAGCACCCAGTCAGGGCTGGAGGAGGAAGGTGGACACCAGGAAAAGTCACAGCACTGGAACCAGCTGCCTCTGGTGGCTCTTGACCCTTTTCTCAGGTGCTAGAAGGCCAGGGACCAGCTCCTGCCCCCAGGGCCCAGCAGCGGCCAGAGCAGAGGGGTGGGCAGGACAGAAGGAGCATTGCCCTGGGAGATGAGGACTCCAAGTCCGGGTGGGTCTGGGCGATCACTGCCCCTTTCCGGCCTTGCTTCCTCCCTCTACATGGAGGAAGCTATTGCTGCGAGCTTTTGCATGAAATCTGGAAATGGCCCAAAATCCTAACGAGAAAAGTGGCTAGGTAAGCCCCAGGGCAAAACATTCTAGACCCGTTCGGAGGACTGGCTGAGCGACCCAGCTGATACAGATCCCTGGAACAATGCCACTGGCAGCAGTGACGAGCGCAGTGCCCATGTGGCCGGTGGTGGCTGTGTGACAATGTGCCAGGCTGCCAACACCTCACACACCTGCGATGCTGGGTCTCCCTTCAAAACCTTTCTTTCAAATTATCACCGAGCCCCTCGTGTTTTATGTCAAGGGCTGTGCGTCAGCCTAATGGTGAGCAAAACGGGCAGGGGGGTCTATTGTCATAGCTGCCGGCCAAGTGAGAGAGGCAGACAAGTAGAGACAGAATCACGAACTGAAGGAGGAGCCTCTGGGAGTGTGTGGGGCTGACAGAGTTCATCTAGGGTCAGCGAGGCAGGGTCTCCTGAGGACGCGGTGTTTCAGCTGAGACCTGACGAATGGGTGTCGGACAGAGCAGCAGGCGAAGGCATGGCCAACGCGAGCCCCTGCAAAGAGCAGAGGACTGGCATGGATCAGGAGCCACAAGCGTGAAGAGGATGAGGCCAGAGAGATGGGCAGGGGCCAGGCCAGGAGCAGCCTGGTTAGTGCAGGTGGAGATTTTGAACTTCACCCCCCACCCCCATCCTTTATGTCATCTGAGTCTCAAACCTGCCCAGAAGGAGGGTGTCCAGCTTCCCATGTCATAAACAGAAAACAGGCTTGGAGTAAACATTTTTAAAATGTTGCCGGCCATTTGTGACGTGGATGGACCGTGAGGGCATTATGCTGAGTGAAATAGACCGAGAAAGACAAATGCCGTGGAATCGAAAACTTACAAGTGAAATCTAAAACACAAATCAAAACGAAGAAAACCAAGCTCATAGATACAGAGAACCAGACCGGTTGCCGGGAGTGGAGGGGTGGAGGGTGAGCGAAATGGGTGAAGGGGATTCAAAGGCACAAGCTTGCAGTTAGAAAACAAGTAAGTCATGCGGATGTCATGCGGCACGGCATCTACAGTTCATAATCCTGTATCACATCTTTCAAAGTTGTTAAGAAAGTAGAGCTTAAAAGTTTTCATCATAAGGAACAAAATTTTAACAATGCATGGTGACAGATGTTAACTAGACCTATTGGGGTGATCATTTTGTAATATATACAAATATTGAATCATTACATTGTACATCTGAAGCTAACATAATGTATGTCGATTATACCTCTATGAAAGAACTAAATAAAAAAATAAATAAATAAAAGCAAGTCCATCAACAAAATACTACTAATAACTTGCCAAAGGTCAGGCAAGAACTAAAGGGAGGAGAATGCAGAGCTGGTGAGTCCCGGGTCAGCCCTTACTCCAGAACTCTGGTCTGCCTCCAGCCGCAGTATCTGGGGGGTTCTCTTCCAGAGAGACATGGCGGGTGTCCACCGGACGATGGGCCCTGCCTCCATTCGGTGCCTGACCAGTGCGTGGACGACAGCCAGTGTCCCTCAAAGATGAAGTGCTGCCACAGAAGTTGTTTCCGCCAGTGCGTCCGTAGGGTCACAGGTAAGTGTCCCTCTCCACCTTGCTGACTGCCCGAGCCTCAAGCCCCAAGCCCCAGGGCCAGGCTCGGGCAGGCTCACCCAGGCCCCTGTGTTGCAGTGAAGCAGGGCACCTGCCCCGAGGACCGAATGCACTGCCTCAGCCCCATTCAGCACCTGTGCCACAAGGACACAGACTGCAGGGGCAGCAGCCGCTGCTGCCTCGGTGCCTGCGGCCGGGACTGCCGGAACCCGGTCAGAGGTATGTCCCGTGTGCTGGGCAGGCTCTTCCCCTCTCCGAGCCCAGCTCTAAGATACCATCTAGTCAACACGCTTAGTGGGAACCTTCCCAGAAGCCTGGGCCTCCCTGTGGCCATTAAAGGGGAAGTGGATGGGGTGTGAGGGGTCCTGGTAGAATGATGGAGGAACTGGGGATCCTTGGTTCTCTTGGTGAACTTGTCCCCTGGACCACAACCCTGAACTGCTTTGAGCTTCCGTCTGCCCTTGTGAAGGATGGGGGGGGGGGGGGGGGGGCACCAGGCCTGGGCTGATGGGTCTGGATGGGCCATCAAGCCCAGAACTCAGAGCCCTATTATGGGAGGGGTTAACCCTTTCCTTCTCTCTCCTCAGGCTAATTCTGGTTTAGGATCTGTGGCTCTGAACCTCAGGATGGGATTCCCTGCAGGAAGGGCTGATGACGGGGCCTGGGACCTGCCACCCAGCAGCACTGTCTGCCGGCGACAGTTCCAACCTCCTGATAAACACGGATCCGTGGTGACTTCCCCTGCAGCCATCCACCAGGTTTTTCCTCCTGGGAATCAAGGTTCATGGCCAGACCTCAACGGACTCCTCTCTGTACCACCACCACACCGAGCTCCTCGTCCTTCCTAACACCCACCTTCACATCTCTGTGTACGTGTTTCTTCCACCTAAAATGCCCAATTCAGATAGGCCTCTCTGTGTGGGGTCCTGGCCCCTCCCCAGCCCTGAGTGTACGTTCCAGCAGTTTCCGGAACATGTCTGTTCACATCCCCCTTACTCAATGTTCGCCATGCCTGCAAAATAGCGTCGTGACGTTTGGTGTACTGCCTGTCCTCCTGTTTATCGAATGCTTTTCCTTAAGTGGACTCACTTTTGTATATAAGTAATTTCCAAAGAAAAGCTTGATGTGACTGCTATAAACGGGATAAGCAGGATCACTTGGCACAAGTAGAATGTGATTATAAAAGCAAATGCAATGAAAACCGCTATGTTCCATTAAAATCATGTCCGATTAAACAGTATTAAATAATGTTATTAAATTCTAGCTAGATGCTGCCACCTGCCAAGACGGTAAAGCCTGCTCTCGGTTGTAATAAGTGAAGATTAAAGACACACGCCTCTAACCTGAGATTAAAGACACACGCCTCTAACCTGAGACTCACTCCGAGTCATTGTTGGATCACGTTGCATCCCGGCACACCCGGAGGCCATTTCAAATTGCTCCACATTTGCTTGAGCAGTTGGGATGTCATACTTTGGGGAGGGTCTGTCTCTACCATTGGACAACACTTCATTCACCTCCATTTTCTTTTTTGTCTTTTTGTTTTGTTAATCCTCACCTGAGGATATTTTTTCCCCTTGCTTTTCAGAGAGAGTTGAAGGGAGAGAGTGAGGGTGAGAGAGAGAGAGAGAAACATTGATGTGAAAGAGACACATTGACTGGTTGCCTCCCACATGCTCTCTGACGGGGGCAGGGAGCGAAGCTGCAACCCAGGTACATGCCCTTGAGGGGAATCAAACCCATGACCCTCCAGTGTGCAGACTGACACTCTAACCACTGAGCAACACCGGCCAGGGCTCACCTCCATTTCTTGAGGGTCCCCATCTGTAGTTAGGGCCTGATAAGAAGGGGGGAGTCAATGAAGAAATGACAGCCATCCCAAGGGACATTCCTGGACCCCGATAGCTGGGTTCCTGGCTGTCCCTTTTATCCAGGATTTGCTTGGGGAGAGGATGGAGGTGGGCAGAATCCTCCCTGCTTTACCTGCTGGGTCGCCGCTTGTGCGCTGATAGAATCTGGCCAAGGTTGGGGTTTCATTTGAGCCTCGACTGGAGAAGGATCCACTTTCAAGTTCATGTGGTTGTTGACAGAATTTCAGTTTCTTGAGGGCAGTTGAATTTCATCCCTTAGCTCCTAGCTGGATGTTGGTGGGAAGTTGCCCTTACTTCCTTGCCTTTCCAGCGTGGCAATTGGCTTCATCAAAACCAGCCCGGAGCCAAAATGTCCTGTAACCTCATCCTGGAAGTGACATTCCATCACTTTTATCCCATTCTGTTCATTAGAAACAAGCCAGGAAGGGATTACACAAATGTAAGGCTTGGGGAGGTGCAGTGACTTGCCCAAGGCCATTTACCTAACCTCTGAGTCCTCTAGAGCAGCACTGTCCAATAAATATAATGCGAGCCACACATGTCATTGAAAGTTTTCTGATAGCAACATTAAAAAGAAGAAAACAGGTGAAATTAGTCTTTTTAAAAATTTCGTTATTGATTAAGGTATTACATATGTGTCCTTATCCCCCCATTATGAAATTAGTCTTTTTAAAAATATATATTTTATTGATTTTTTACAGAGAGGAAGGGAGAGGGATAGGGAGTTAGAAACATTGATGAGAGAGAAACATCGATCAGCTGCCTCCTGCACACTCCCCACTGGGGATGTGCCCACAACCAAGGTACATGTCCTTGACTGGAATCGAACCTGGGACCTTTCAGTCCGCTGGCCGACACTCTATCCACTGAGCCAAACTGGTCTGGGCTGAAATTAGTCTTAATAATATATTTTATGTAACCCAGTATATCCCAAATATTATAATCTCAACATGGAATCAATAAATTATTTATGAGATGTTGCATTTTCATTTTTGTACTAAGTCTTCAAAATCCAATGTATTAATTTCTCATTGTTGTGAAGTTATCACAAACTTAGCAACTTAAAGCAATACACATTTATTCTCTCACAGTTTCCATAGGTCAGAAGTCTGTGCACAGCATGGCTGGATTCCCTACCCAGGGTCTCACTTGGTTGAAGTCAAGATAATCAACCAGGGCTATGGTTTTCATGTGGGGCTTGGGGTTCTCTTTCAAGCGCACAGATTACAGGCAGGATTCATTTCCTTGTGATTGTAGGACTGAGGTCCCCTTTTCCTTCTGGCTGTCTGCGGGGGATCCCTCTCAGTTGATAGAGGCTACATGTGGTTTCTTCACATGTGGCCCCATAGGCAGTTCACAACATGGATGTTTGCTTTCTTCCAAGCAAACCAGAGTGCTGACTTCCTCTTCTGTGACCAGCCAGAGAAAATGCTCTGCTTTTAAAGGACTCACCAGCTTAGGCCAGGCCCACCCATGACAATCTCCCTTTTGCCATACGACACACATTCACAGGTTGTACCTACACTCAAAGAGGAGGAGATTATACAGGGACAAGGGTCACTGGCAATCATTTAGAATTCTGCCCACTACATCCACCTACAGTGAATCTCAATTGGCCTAATCACATTTTACGTGCTCGGAAGCCACATGTGGCTAGTGGCTACCATCTTGGATAGTGCAGCTCTAGGCTTTATCGCTTCAGTTCTTCCCTCAACATTAGAAAGAACAGGAGACACTTAGTGCTCATCTTAGCCCATTCCCTTATTTTCCCAACAAGGAAACTGAGGCAGATCTGCAGAGAAGCAGGTCTCCCATTTCCTGCCCTAGTACTCTGTCTGCAGCCTTCAATCCCCCCAAAAGTCAGGGGGCTCCCCCCTGGAGTTGGAGAGGTTGTTTCCAGAAAGATATCAGACAGACTGGGGGAGCCTTACATTTCTTATCTGTGAGGTTGGAATAATAATAGCAAATACCCCACAGACATATTTGCAGCTTAAATGAGACCTATAGAATACTTAGCCCAATATAAATGTTGGTCATTATTATTAATAACAATTAATATTTGTAAAGTAGGGATCCTTTCTTGTATCCAGGTCTAATCTCCGGCACCCTCTCCCCAACCAGGCATACAGTAGATGCTCAATAAATGCTTGCAGATTACACAAACTCTTGGTCAGCGTTCTCCCTTACCCTCACAACCCACTCGGAGGTGAGGTGGGAATCGGGAACCTCTGGGCAGGTGAGGAGACTGAACTTCAAGGGGCAAAGGATCTGTTCCCGGCTTCACAGCCAGCAGGGGAAGCGCAGGTCTTCCGCGGGCCTGGGGCTCACAGGGGGTGAGGCCACTTTCTCCAACTCCCAGTGCAGACGCCCTGGGCAGCCTCCCAGTGCAGAGGAGGTGAGTTCTTATCTCAAGTCCACAAGTCCTAGCTAAGTGCCCTGAGCAGGTGACAGGGGCTCCTCCTGTCCCTGTCAAGTCTGTATCAGCAGCACCTTGGACAAGTCACCGTGGGCAGAGTGGCTGGCGCATCATTTGGGGAGCTGTAGTTACTGTTGCTCTTAGGAGGGACCCGGCCCCTAAATGACTACTCCATCCCTGGTCTCTGACTTGGGAGGATGTCCCAGCCGCAGGGCCCAGTCCCCAGACACCCTCACACCCCCGGACCGAGTCAGGAATAGAAACCACCGCCTCCGCCGCCCGCGGCCTCCCTCCTTCCCCGGCAGCGATCGATGCGGCCTCAGCCGCGGGGGACGGAGGAAGACAGGGAAGGAGGGGGCAGCGGGACCTCCACAGCAGCGAGGCTCGGCGGGGCCACCCAGGCAGAGACCCGCCGGGGCGGCCAGCGGCTCCCCAGCCTTGGCGCCTTCCGGGGCAGACGCACCAGGCGGCAGGTAAGGGGCCGCCCTCGGGGAGGGGCGTGGTCCGGGAAGGGGCGGGGGCTGCGCGCCTGGGAGGCGGGGGCTGGGGTTCCCGGTGCTCACACCGTCTCCTCGGGACCCTCCAGGGAGGGAGCAGTATGGGATGGCCCCGCTTTGGGGCCGGTCCTTAGAAAACCTCCGCGGAGGGTTTGGGGTAGAGATTCAAACCAGTGAAGAGTACACAGAGCCCAGGGAAGTGACCAGCACACAATAGGTGATCAAAATAAGTGTGGGACTCACAAAACCTAGTTTCCGGCCTTACCTGTGCGTGGACTAGCTGTTGAGCACATCACTTAATCTTTCCTACTGGTACTCGGATTCTTATTGGGGAATGTTTGTTGAATTAATTGTCCCATTTCATAGACAGGAAGGTGAATTCCAGAAAGAGAAAGGGGTTTGCCCACAGAGGGGCAGCTCATGGTGATGGAACAGGATTAGGGACTTCCTTTTTTAAAAATATATTTTTTTATTGATTTCAGAGAGGAAGGGAGAGCGAGAGAGAGCTAGAAACATCAATGATGAGAGAGAATCATTGATTGGCTGCCTTCTGTACGTCCCACACTGGGGATCGAGCTTGCAACTGGAGCATGTGCCCTGACCGGGAATCGAACCCTGACCTCCTGGTTCATAGGTCGAGGCTCAACCACTGAGTCATGCTGGCTGGGCAGAAACCTCATTTTTTGATGACAAGTCCAGGTGGAGGGGTGGGATGCAGCTGCAGCGCACACATACTTATTGTGCACAATTTATGTGCCAGGACTGTGCTGCTGCTAACACCTTGCCTCAGGTCATCCTCATAGCTCTCATGGGAAGGACAGTGTTCCCCACTTTATGGACGGGGCAGCTGAAGCTCAGAGAAGGGTCTGCTCAAGGTCAACGGTAAGAGGCAGACTCAGAATTGGAGCCCAGGTCTGACCAGAAAGACATGCAAGAGCACGTACTGTGTTCCAGGGGTTTTGCACACATACTCACGATAACCCTTCAACTGAAGTGCTGTTGTCCCCATTCTATAGATAAGAGAGCTAAAGCCCGGAACTGGAGGAGACTGGCCTTCGGCCGCACAACAGATCTAAGGACAAAACCTCAACTCGCTTAAACGCCGAGCCCAGGGTAAGTGAAGGACACCCTGCCCGCTCCTTGCCAGGCACTGGGCCAGCTGCTTGATGCACATTCAATCCCTGTCCACCCCGGGCAGCAGGCATTACCGAACCCACAGTGCAGATGACATTACCGAGGTCAGGAGGTGAGTCACTGGCCCTCAATTCCAGCAGCGCTTAGAGACAGTGGGCAGGGGCAGGAAACGAACATTTCCTGAATATCCACGCAGGCCGACCACTTCTCTAACCCACCTCAATCCTCCAGCCTCCCCTGGAAGGTGCTAGTGTCTGCATTGTGCAAGAAACTGACCTGGAGAAAAGTAGATCCCCAAGGTGGAGATAAAGACTTGCCTGCCTCCAGGAGAGAGGGAGACAGGTGGATAATGTATTAAACCTCTCTGGGAGCCAAGCCCAATAGACATTAGTTCATCTAACCTTTTAACCATAGTTGGAGGTGGATATTTTTATCTCCACTTGACAGAGGCTCAGAGAGGTGACATGACTTGCCTACAGTCACACAAGAAAGCCGAAGTTCAATCTGACAGACTCTACAGATGCTTTAAATAGTTGAAGGAGAAGTTGAATTTTGACAAATTTCCAGGTGATGCCAACTCTGCTAGCAGGGAACACACTTTGAGAATGAGTGGTCTAGACGGATTCTCCCCACAACCCTAGATGATAAGCACTCACTATCCAGTGATGGCGAACCTATGACACTCGTGTCAGAGGTGACACGCGAACTCATTTTTTTGGTTGATTTTTCTTTGTTAAATGGCATTTAAATATATAAAATAAATATCAAAAATATAAGTCTTTGTTTTACTATGGTTGCAAATATCAAAAAATTTCTATATGTGACACGGCACCAGAGTTAAGTTAGGGTTTTTCAAAATGCTGACACGCCGAGCTCAAAAGGTTCGCCATCACTGCACTATGCCCATTTTGCTGAGGAGGAATTAGGTTCTGAGCGTGGCGGTTCAAGATCCCACAGTAGACCGCTGGGATGCAAAACTCAAATTTTGTCTGGGAAAGGGAGACATCCTGTATAAGCATCCCCCCAGGTGCCAGGCGTTTGTTTATGCCAATGAAACGAGGGTGGGGAGGCTCAGTGTTTGACCAAAGTCCCCCAGTCAGGGAGTGAGGACTAGTCAAACCCAAGCCTGACTCTTTGGTCCAGAGGGTATCTTATACCTACCGAGCGCCTACTGCGTACCAGACACTTCACAGAGAGCATCCGACACCCCTAGGCGGTAAATGGGGGGCGGGGGATTTGACGATCTTCCTGTAAGGAATGTCCGGGGGACCCCCCTCCCACCGCCGCCTAAGGGCGCTTCTCCTGTGTCCACAGGGCAGAGCGCCACAACCATGGTGAGCGAGTCCCCAGGGCCGGGCGCCACGGTTCTCTGGCGGCGAAGCGACGAGGCTCTGAGCGTGAACGTGGGCGGCGTGCGGCGGCGGCTGAGCGCGCGCGCCCTGGCTAAGCTTCCCGGGCACGCGGCTGGGCCGCCTGCACGGCCGCTTCACTGGCAGGAGCAGGCGCGGCGTCTGTGCGACGACTACGACGCGGCCGCCCGGGAGTTCTACTTCGACCGGCACCCGGGCTTCTTCCTGGGGCTGCTGCACTTCTACCGCACCGGCCACCTGCACGTGCTCGACGAGCTGTGCGTCTTCGCCTTCGGCCAGGAGGCCGAGTACTGGGGCCTGGGCGAGAGCGCCCTGGCCACGTGCTGCCGCGCGCGCTACCAGGAGCGGCGCGTGGCGCGGCCGCGCGCCTGGGACGAGGACAGCGACGCGCCGAGCAGCGTGGACCCGAACCCGGGCGAGATCTCCGACGTGCAGCGCGAGCTGGCGCGCTATGGCGCGGCGCGCTGCGGCCGCCTGCGCCGCCGTCTCTGGCTCACCATGGAGAATCCCGGCTACTCGCTGCCCAGCAAGCTCTTCAGCTGCGTCTCCATCGGCGTGGTGCTCGCCTCCATCGCCGCCATGTGCATCCACAGCCTGCCCGAGTACCAGGCCCGCGAGGCGGCGGCAGCCGTGGCTGCGGTGGCCGCGGGCCGCAGCGCGGAAGACGTGCGGGACGACCCGGTGCTGAGGCGCCTGGAGTACTTCTGCATCGCCTGGTTCAGCTTCGAGGTGTCCTCGCGCCTCCTGCTGGCGCCCAGCCCGCGTAACTTCTTCTGCCACCCGCTCAACCTCATCGACATCGTGTCCGTGCTGCCTTTCTATCTCACGCTGATGGCTGGTGCGGCGCTCGGCGACCAGGGAGGTGCGGGCGGCGAGGATCTCGGCGACCTGGGCAAGGTGGTGCAGGTGTTCCGCCTCATGCGCATCTTCCGCGTGCTCAAGTTGGCGCGCCACTCCACCGGGCTGCGCTCACTGGGCGCCACGCTCAAGGTAGGGCCTCTGAGGCCGGGTAGGGGCTTAGGGGGAGGCAGGTGTAGCCGTGGGGCAGGTTAGCAGATGCACTTAACCAGCCTGCTGTGTCCAGGCGCACGGTGAACGGAAGCACATCCTTTATACCAGGCACAGGGCCAGATAGCAGGTGTACATTTCACGTCCAGTTTGACCTTCCCAGCCTTCCGGTGATCTCTGAGTCCCATGGGAGAAAACTGACGCAGGGCTGTGCTGGTCTTCCGTTTCAAAAAGTAAAAATAAAACAAAAAGGTCACTTTTGATCTGTCTTGTCAAATATCAAATAGTACGTAGCACAAAAATATGCAAAGCAGGATGCTAACTGGCTTCTGCACTGAGCCGTTCTTCTGAGGTTATCAGGGGCCACAGATATCATAGGTCTTGCTTAGTCGACAAGCCTAGTACAGCCCCAGAGCTCATACTGAGTGCTAATTCTGTGCCATTTTCACATCCATTATCGATTTCATCCTCAGGACGACTTCCTCTGAAAGATGCTCTTATTTATTCCCTTCCCGTAGATGACAAACCTGAGGTTGGCTTTTTAAAGCCTGGCTGCAATTAATTGAGCACCATACTTGAGCCAGGCCCTGGGAAGCTTACCCTTAAGGGGGTGAAATTAGCCTGCTTTGGGGAGGGCGGGCACGGGAACAGCTTGGACAGAGGCCTGAAGAGAGAACAGAATGAATGATGGGAGAGGGACATGGAGGGAGGGGTACCAGTTGGTAAGGCTGAAGAGGGTATTGAAGGGCCATGAACTCTTGGCTCAGGATTTTGGACTTTATCCCAAGGGAAATGGGGTTTAAGCAGGGGCAAGTATTGTTGCCACTACTTTGCAGATGTGGAAACCGAGGCTCTAAGACAGTGATGGCGAACCTTTTGAGCTCGGCGTGTCAGCATTTTGAAAAACCCTAACTTAACTCTAGTGCCGTGTCAAATATAGAAATTTTTTTGATATTTGCAACCATAGTAAAACAAAGACTTATATTTTTGATATTTATTTTATATATTTAAATGCCATTTAACAAAGAAAAATCAACCAAAAAAATGAGTTCGCGTGTCACCTCTGACACGCGTGTCATAGGTTCGCCATCACCGCTCTAAGAGGTGACAGGACTTGTCAGAGGTTCCTCTGTGAGTAGCAGAGCCTAGAGAAGAACCCAGCTGTGCCTGACTCCAGTACCTCACATTCTTTCTCCTAAATCCCCCTGTAACCCTGCTAAAGATCCCTAGAAGATGCTGATTAATCCCTTCCACCCACAGCTTAGTAAAGCCTTTTGTATGCCCCCATGGCAGGGCAGCCAGCATGCTGGGTACAGGCAGGATGACCTGGCAGAATGCTGGGGCAATGGACAGATACAGAGAATTCCGTTAGCTAGACACCCTGAACTCAGCACCTCTCCAGAGGTGACCCCTCCATTGCAGAACTCTGCCTTGCCTTCACCATGCAGAAGGCCAGGGCCCGATGCTACCAGCTCTTTCTGCGAGGAGGGAGAAGAGTATTGATGGAGGCTTCCAGGGTCCGAGACACACCTGTAAGTCTCCAGACGAGAGCCTTGCTACTCAAAGTGAGGCCCCTGACCACCACCAGATTTCTCATTAGCTGGAAGCTTGCGAGAATTGCAGAATCCCTGGCCCTATGCCAGACCTCCTCAATTGGGTTCTGCCTTTTATTTATTTTTATTTTTTTAAAATATATTTTTATTGATTTTTTACAGAGAGGAAGGGAGAGGGATAGAGAGTTAGAAACATCGATCAGCTGCCTCCTGCACACTCCCTACTGGGGATGTGCCCGAAACCAAGGTACATGCCCTTGACTGGAATCAAACCTTGAACCTTTCAGTCCACAGGCCAACGCGCTATCCACTGAGCCAAACCAGTTAGGGGTGGGTTCTGCCTTTTAAACAGTTTGGAAGCCCTGCTCTAGGCTAGGGGTTCTCAGCCTCTATTAACTTTTGGGGCCAGATAATACTTTGTTGTGGGGGGCCGTCCTGTGCATTGTAGGATGTTTAGCAGCATCCTTGGCCTCTTACCCACTAGATACTGGTAGCACACGTCTCAGTTGTGACCATCAAAAATGTCTCCAGATATTGCCAAATATCGCCTGGGGTGGCAGAACTGCCCTGGTTGAGAAACACTGCCCTAGGGCTTGGCCTCAGGGGCAGAGCAGATATACACACCCGTAGGCAAGTGCATTCTGCGAGGGGTCTAGGGAACCTATATATCCTCTCAGCTTCCTTGAGAGGCAGAAAATATTTTTGTACTTATCAGAAATGAGATCCACCAGTCAAAAGTACACGAAACCAACCCTTTGCATTGTGGGATATAAACTATGGCTCTCTCTTGATTCTGCAACAGTAGAAAAATCACAGGCTTTTCATTCACCGGCTGGTGCCACTAGTGCTGCCCACATTAGAAGAAACAAATGTGGCTCAGCAGGCACCTTGGACAATGGAAATCAGGCCTGTGTTCAGTCCTAGGGAGTATGGCTGATTATTGTAGTTGAAAGACCTTAGTTTGGAGTCAGGGACCTAGGTCCTGGCACCAGCTCTACCTTGCTCTGTGATTATGGATCTGTCCCTTCTACTCTCCCGGCCTCAGTTTCCCCATCTGCCCAATGCCAGGTCTGTAAGCCCACCCAGCTCTGACTCGGCTTCCTACTTTCCTTCCAGCACAGCTACCGTGAGGTGGGCATCTTACTGCTGTACCTGGCCGTGGGTGTGTCAGTGTTCTCCGGTGTGGCCTACACAGCTGAGAAGGAGGAGGACGTGGGCTTTGACACCATCCCAGCCTGCTGGTGGTGGGGCACAGTGAGCATGACCACCGTGGGCTATGGGGATGTGGTGCCAGTGACGGTGGCCGGCAAGCTGGCAGCCTCGGGCTGCATCCTAGGGGGCATCCTGGTGGTAGCGCTCCCCATCACCATCATCTTCAATAAGTTCTCTCACTTCTACCGGCGCCAGAAGGCTCTGGAAGCCGCAGTGCGCAACAGTGGCCACCAGGAGTTTGAAGACTTGCTGAGCAGTGTTGATGGGGTGTCGGAGGGGTCTCTGGAGACATCCCGAGAGACCTCCCAGGAGGGAAGGTCTGCAGACCTGGGGACTCAGGCCCCCAGTGAGCCTCCAAACTCTAAGATTTATTAAAACCAGGGCTCCATGTTTCCCTTCCCACACCCTACACTCAGCTACAACAGAGCAGAGACCCGTCCCCTGCTGAAGTTCTTCGTGGTGGCCTGACCGCTCAGGGTCACTCCTTGGCCTGAGAATCGACACCCAGAAGCTGAGTCCCTTCCTCCAAAGGCTCAGGGAAGGACAGTGTTTCCCTAGATTATGTGAGCTTGAAGAGCGACCCAGAGACCTTTATAAACAAACCTCCAAGCCATCTGGGAAGCAGCATGAGCCAGAGAGAGAGAGTCGAAAGGATGCTAACAATTCCTTGCCACCTGCTCTTAGCTAGATCACATATGGCCCTATGTTGGAGGATGAGAATTAACCCCATTTCACAGATGAGGAAACTAAGGCTCAGAGAGGTGCAATGACTTGCTCAAATGGCATGCAACTAGAAGTGGTTGGGTCAAGTTTGGAATCCATGCTTGTTGGTCTGCCAATAGTGTTTCTTCCACTCTGTCTTCCCTCACGAAGCTTGTGTAGGTTTTTAGTAAGTTTATGGGCCCCTAGGGTTGATCTACTTAGGTTTCTCTGTCAGAGCTAGGGAAAGGATGAGACGGGATTCAGATGTAGGAGCCCTGGACCTCACTCGTGGTTCTTTTCCAGGAGCTTCCAAAAGGACTCAGCTCCCTAAGATGAGGCCTGGGAGGAAGAGGGAGCTGCCTCCTTAGATGATGTGCAAGATTTGCAAAGCAATACCTGTAGCTTCCTCCCCGGGCTGGCTTGAGATACAGAAAAGGGGCCCTGGCCTGCGGCCTGAAGTCTAGATCTAGTCCTACTGGAACCTGATTTGTGAAGTAGGCAAGTCCCTGCCCCATCTCCAGGTTTCAGCCCACCTGTGAAATGGTCACAGTCTGAGCCTAGAGGGAGATGAAAGTGGAACAGGGAGGTACTGATTTCCAGCCAGCCTGGCTCAGAAATGTTGGTGGCCAGGAGCTGCCATGAATGGACAACTGCTCCCCCACATTGGATCCCCCCAGTCTGACCACAGCACTTCCTGTCTGCCTACCCTGCAGACCTCCAGCCATATCTTGAGTTACCAGCCAGGCCAGTGCTTGAGGCTCCTGCCCTTTTGGCCAGCTCCAGCCCCTCATTCTTGCTGGGGGCATATCTGTATACTCACCTACTGCATCCTCTCTACTTGCTAAAGAAGTTGGGAGGCAAGGGTCCCCTAGCCCTTTCCCACACTGTTGCTAGAACATCCATCACTGTACTGTCATTGTCTGGCTGTGGCTCTGTCTGTCCCACCACACTGAGCTTCAAGATGGGGGACACTGTTGGTGCACAGTAGGTATTTAGTAAATGCTGAATGGATCAACCAATTTGTACAGCTACTGTGTGCCAAGCACTGGGGAGGAAGAGGAAAGAAAGAGCCCGAGGGAGACCTTGCCCTCTAGAGGGTGTACAAGCCTGTCAAGGAGGTCCTTTCAGTTCTGTCCCCTCTCCCTCCTTGCTTTTTTGAGGCTTTTACAATGATTTCCTTGTAGATGCTTCACTCGCTCATTCAACAAATATCCACTGGAAAGGTCGTAAGTTGGGGCTTCACATGTGGCCTGCAGACAGGTTTCATTTAGCTGAACAATATTTTTAGTGTATTTTAAAAATGTGAATGCCCTTGGGTGAGGCATGCTCTCTCTGGTTCCCCATCGCACCCCCCGACCCCACACACAGGCGCTCCTGTGTTAGCCCCACCACTTAGATTTACTTTACCCACATGGGCTGTGATTTATTGATGTCTTACCAGATTCAACAGATAGAATGCCAAGCAAAATATATATCCCTGTGTCTTGAAGCTTACAGACTAGTGGGGAGACAGATTTTAATCCAATAATCACATGAATAAATAATAATAAGCTCTACTAAATACAAGAACTATAAGGGTATATAATATAGCAGGGACCATTGACCGAGAAGGTCAGAGAAGACTTTCGTGAGCAAGTGGACAGTTTAACATATGGATCAATAGAAATTACCCGGGGGGGGGGCGGGGCGTGTTTTCCAGGAAAGCAGTGTATTCCAAGAGGGAACAGCATGTGTGAAGGCCTCATATCATACACAGGGCCTGGTACATAGGCTTTCAGACGTAGATGGTTTCAGTCTCCAGATTGGAGCAGAGACGAACTGAGCCAAGGGTGCCGCTCATGAATTGACCACACACACACACCACTGGCCCTCCCGCATGCTCACCTTGTGACATCTAGGCCCAGCTCTGCCCAGGTCAAGGCACAGAGACAGGTGGGCTGCATGCAACCACCCTCATGGTCTTGCTAAACACAGCGAGGACCCACTCGCTTCCAACTTTCTGACCCCACAGACAAGTCCCTAAAGCCGGTGTGGGTAAAGCTCAGGAGAGAATCGTCTGGCCTGAGTCTATCACGAGGCTGTGTGTGGTCCTGGCAGAAAAGCAACAACTCCTTCCCACTCCCATGTATCAATGTAGCCATTATGCAAATAAAGAGGCTGGGCCCCGGGACCTGTTTGTGCCGGTATGGAGCTGGCTGCCTGGCATGCTTTCTGGGTGATTGGGAGGGTGGAGTAACATGGAGTGACTCAGAATCCCCACCTCTGGTTCCAGTCTTACATTGGGAACAGGTTGCAAGTGACAGGAATCCAGCTGGAACTAACTTGGTCCAAGAGGGTAATTCACTAGCTTCAGTCATTGAAGTGATGAACAACGGTTACAACTGGAGTTCTTTGGATACAAGCAACAGAAACCTTAAGGGAAAAAATGAATTTATTGGAAGATGTATTCATTTCCTGTGGCTGCATAACAAATTACCACAAATTTGATGGCTTAAAACAACAGAATTATTCTTTCACCATTTTGCAGGCCAGAAATCCAAAAATCAAGGTGTCAGCAGAGCCACACTGTCTCCGGAGGCTCTACGGGAGAAATCTCTCCTTGCCTCTTCCAGCCTCTGGTGGCTGCTGGCATTGCTTGACTTGTGGCTGCATCACTCCAAACGCTGCCTTTGTCATCACAGCCTGTGTGTGTCAAATCTCCCAATGCCCCTCTCTCATAAGGACACCTGTGATGGTATGTAGGGCCCACTTGGATAATACAAGATGTTCTCATCTGGAGATCCTTACCTTAATCATTTCTGCAAAAAGACCCTTTTCCCAAGTATGGTAACATAGACGGGTTCCAGAGATTACAGTGTGGACGTAACTTTGGGACCACCGTTCAGCCTACTATAGAAGAGGATTGGAGAAGCTCACCCAATCAAAGGAAAGGCTGACTGACCACGCCTCAGGAAATACAGGAATGAGGGGGGCTCTAGGGACTGAAGTACAGGACTCATGAACCTTCTGTTTAGGACACTGTCATCCAAATGACCCTCCTCCAATCACTTTCTTGCCCTGGATCATCCTGCTCACAGTCCCCGTCCCAGGAGGTTGATTTGCTGAGCTTTCATCATATCATAGCCTCTCCCTTGGTGGGAATGGAGGGCAGGGTACCTGGATTAACATCTATAACAGATCAGGTAGGATGGAAGAAAGGTAGTTACCCAAGAAAAGACCATGTGGTGTCACCAAAATAAAGGGGTGAGATGTTAACAGGCAAAAATAGTGGATTTCCACTACCTCCCAACTCTTGTTTTATAAATGTTGCCAGCATAAGGAAATGATCTTGGCTCTCCAGGCCCTATTAATGTGATTTAATCAATGTGGTGGATCAGTTTGATGTCTTGTAGTGGAATCAGGGAATCAGTCTTTCTGATACAGAGCTGGGAGAGAACTCAGGTGTCCCTGAGTGAACAGTAAAGGAAAACTGTTATCCATTCCAGCAAAAGGCTTCCAGTGGTTTCTGTTTCTTGGAAGAGAGAATTAAACCCAGAGATGCCTATAGCTCCAGGGGCTGTAATATGGAGCACATATCTAATACAGCAGCTAAAACTGGAATTGCCTCTTGATTAAAATACCCCCCTATCAGTTTCCAAGACCCAGCCCATCTTGCGCTGGTCAAACGGGGGAAACTGTTTTGATAGGAGTCATCACTCTCCAGGGTCTCTGGTGGAGGCCCTGATCTCTGCAGCCTCCTCAGAGATGTGGTACCACCGTTGAGTTTCTATTCTGGGACAGTGGCTCAATCAGATTCTATTGGCCTCCATGGGCCAGGGAGCTAAGTGGGGATCTTTTCAAACTATCCCTCAGAAACTGGAGATAGAGGACAGCTTTGGGATCCCGCTAGACCTCCAGTGACATGGAAAAAGGTCAAAACATTATTTTTCACATGATTGTGGACCTACAGTAGTACTCTTCAGCCCAAGAAATTGGTATTAACATATTAGCTCCAAGTCTTCATCCAAGGTTCCCTGAAAGATTTTAGTATTTGCCTTTCTTCAGCACCTGGTTACCCTGGTCAATGGCCACAGGCCCTTTTGGAGAAGGCAGAAAATGTTCACATACATCCACAGAGCAGCAGTACAACAGTCCTTCCTCAAGGGCAAATAGCATATGTTCCATTCAAAGGGCTTTAGATCAATAACCAAACTCTTGGAATTAGGTATTAGGTGATGCTCTGCACCAGTCATGGTGGCTTAAATCAGGGTGTTTGTTTTTGCTTTAGAGACTATTTTTTTGGTTTTGTTTTGTTTCTTACGTTTTGTTGGTTATACCATCAAGTAAGAGTTGAGTGTCAGTTCTGATTAAATTTTTTTAGAGTCCTGTAGCCTGATATCATGCCTCATTCAGAGCCTGCTGAATACTACAATGACCATTCCCACTTAATTTCTGAGGGTCAGATACCAACACCTGCCCCTCCACACCTCTGCACTCCCTCCCCTCTGATATCTGGGAGCCCCTCCACCCAGTACTCTTGACCTAGACTATCCTCAAAGCAAGGGTCAAGTGTTCTGGGTTCACTGAGGGCCGTAGTTAGAGGTATTTGCAGGAAGGAGGCACAAATCAGATCCAGTCCAGCCTCCCAGCTTCAGAAATATTTGAATCCTTTTTTCTATGATGCCAAGGAATTTGGGGCCTTTAAATTCCATTTCATGTGGGCCAGCGATTGGTCCAAGTTTTCACTGGCCAACCCATCAGTTGTTAGAACCCAGCCAGCTCCTGGCCCGAGCGTAGAGAATGCAGAACTCCTGGTACGTGCTGCATGTCAAGAAGATCAGCCTGGTCCAACATTACCTTTCCCCCTTCCTTCTTCAAGCACCACAAAAATCCATTCCCACGAATATTCCCCACATTTCTGATGGTATCAATTAACAAGTTTCTGTACTTCTGTATGGCTCCAAGATTCTTTCCTACTCACTCAGTCTATTTTTCATCCTCTAGGCCAGAACTGATTCCCACCTGCCAGTTAGGCAGCCTTGAGGGGTGGGGCAAGCAGGCACTTGGGAGCTTTCTCCAGTAGGGAAGGGTGGGGACTGCTTCCACCCAGTGCTTTGGATTGCCTTGGATTTCTCCCATGTCCTCTCATAGAGCCATTCCACTTGTCACTCTCCCACGCTTCCTGTCGCTGCCCCACTTCACTGAAGTGCAGCAGGGCTGTGCCCTTGGCAACCTGCAGTGCATTGCCAACTTTGGTTTTGGAGATCTCAGCCCCACTGCCGAGTCATGAGATCCTTTCACCACGGCATGGAAGTGCTCTCCGGTTCATTCTGTGCTCACATTACTCTGGGCTGGCTTTTGCTGACTGTCCCTTTACATCATTCTGTGCAATTAGAAATAAACATTCGACCCCACAGCCTGGACATTCCTCCCTCCTTAGATTGGACTGTGACAAAAGCTCCCCCTTCTGGAAGAGTCACCTCCTGGTGGTCAGACCATATCAAGAAACACAGGAAGTCGCCTTTGACCATTGTGCCCCATGGTCTGCTGGTGCCTGGACCAGAGCATGAGCAGAACCTCGAGTGTCTTGCCTCATGACAGCCCAGTGATTTTCAACACCCACATTCCCTGGAGGACATGTTGCCTGTTCTGATTTCTGTATCAGGAGTCGTTAGTTGCAAACAACAGAAGCCAGCTCTGGAAAACTTAAGCAAAAAATGAGTGCATGGGATAGCTACTGGCTAGGATTAAACAACCGGGCTCTGAGAAAGGTAGGAACAAGGGCGATGTGGGGACCATGGTATTTAGGACCCATGAACCACCTCTTAGGGCGCTGTAATTAAATCACCTTAGGGACAACTGCCTCCATTTTATGTATCACTCTGCTCAAAATAGCAATTCCCTGAAGACTGAGTCTAACTGGACTGGTTTGGGTCGCATGTCTATCACGTGGCTGGGGGAAAGAATGGAAGATCTGTCACCGACAGCCCCACCAGGACAGACAGCAGAGGATTAGGACCTGTAGGAAAATAACGTTTCGTTCCAAGTGGCTTTGCTGTGACATTGATGAGATGCCATAGGAACCTAACTCTAATTTACATCAATTAGCCTGTGGTAAAATTGGTTTAGTTATGCATCATTTCATTTAAAGTTATAGAACCTATTGACAATGTTAAGTGAGGACTGACTTTGTGTTTAAATGTAACTGAAGTTTGGTTTAACATCAGGTTTTATAAACAATTTTCTCACACCAGACTTTGTATAGGCTGGTCTTTCCACCCAAGATGCCTTCTCTTCCCCACCTTTCTCCACTTGGCCATCACTTCCTCATCCTGTAAATTCAGGATGAATTACCTTCTCCAAAAAGCTTCCTCGGACACTTCAGCAGAACTGATCATCCCTCCTCATGTGTCCACAGGCTGTGTACTTCTTTCTGCCACGGCATTTCCAATGTGGTTCTTGTGTGTTTGACCGAGCCTCCAGCTGGTCTGCAAGAACTGTGTCTGGTTCATCTTTATACCCCTGACAGTTAACTAGCTCAGGATCTGGCACACAGTAGGTATTCAACAAAAGTTTACTCCCTCTCCCCTGGCTTTGGATTCTAGAATAAACACAATACAAAGTCAATGTTATGAAGGTTCACAACACCATTATCCGGGCTATCGATGGAGGATCTCATATTTAGAAAAAG